ATTTTTTTGGACAAAGCCAAAGGGAGTCAGATTATGGGCGTGAAGTAAGGATGGCTGGGGTGGAAGGCAGTGGTGGGGAGAAAGTGGAGACAATTCTACTTGAACAACAATAAAAATGTAAAAAATAAATAAATAAAAAGTGCATGCTAAAAATGAGTTTATTTTGACAATATTCTCAGGATTACCCTAAGAAGACATGACATTGCATTGACATTTTAGGGAAGCAATAGGAAAATGCAGGATTATGGGACAAAGGTTGTGTTTCAGTACTCTGATATGTCGCTTGATGCTCATCCTTGCAGCCATAAAACAAAAATGATCCCCCTGTTTCTTAGGCCTTTTGTCATATACAATATGTTGTCTCTGCTACTGAAACAAACCTCTCCCATCACCAGTGAGAATGGCTCAATATGAAAGAGTAGTGTGACCAAAGATGAAAAAGAGGGGATATGGAGTGGTTCACAAAGCCTGGACACACTCCTGATTAAGCAGGGGGGGACACAGAGTATACCAGAAACAAAAGATAAACTGTGAATAGTAAGTCCTTCTATATCAATTATCACCCCAAAAGTAAGTGGAGGAAACTTTCTAATCAAAAGACAAGAGTGGTTTGATGGATTGAAAAACAAGACCCAATTTCATGTGCTTTCAGGAGGCCTATCTCAGCTCCAAAGACATAGACTCAAAGCAAATGGTGGAAAACGATACACCAAGCAAGTAATATCCAGAGAAAATGCATATTATATCAGACAAAATAGACTTTGAGTCAAAAAAGGCGACAAGAGACAAAGTTGTACATTTTATAATGATAGAGACAATCCATCAAGAAGGCATAGCATTTGTTAATATATATGCACCCAACATGAGCAACAAATTATATAAAGCAATTATTAATAGTCCTAAAAGGTGAAATAGACAGCAACAAAATAATAGTAAGATAGTTTTATATAGCACTTACAAAAATGGATAGATAATCTATATAGTCAACAAAGAAACATTGGCTTTGGTTAACATATTAGATTAAACAGCTTAATAAATACATAACTTTCCATAACAAAAACACAGAATACACATTCTTCTTAAGTACACATGAAACGTTCTCAAAGATAGACCATATGTTGGTACAAAAAACTTGTCTTGATAAATTTAAGATTGAATTCCTATCAGGCAAATTTTCAGACAACATAAATATGAAACTAAAAATCAACTACAAGAAGAAGTTTGAAAAAATCACAAATATGTGAAAATTAAACATGTTCCTGAATTATTATTGGATCAATAAGAAATTAATAGATATATAGAGACAACTGAAAGTGAAAACATTACATACCAAAATTTTGAGGGTACAGCATGAGTGGATGTAAGAGAGAAATTATAGCAATGCAGGCCTACCTCAAGAAACAAAAAAAATTTAAATAAACAATCTGACGCTACACCTTAAGAAACTAGAAAAGGAACAAATGAAGCCTAAAGTCAGAAGAAGAGTGAAAATGATAGATATTAGCATGGAAAGAAATAAAATAGAGACTAAAAATGTAATATAAAATATTAATGAAATAAAGTACTGATTCTCTGACTAAACAAAATTAGCAAACCTTAGTCTTACTCATTAAAAAAAAGAAGGAAGACTGATATCAGTATAATCAGAAGTGAAAGAGAAGTTGCACTGAATACCACAGAAGTACAAAGGATCATACAAGAATACTATATAGTATAAGAATACTATGAGAGGCTACATACCACCAAATGTGATAATCTAGAATAAATGGACAAATTATTATAATCATGCTATCTTCCTAGAATGAATCATGAATAATAGAGTTGAAGAAGCTAATCACACTATGGAAATTGAAACAGTAATCATGAATCTACCAAATATTTGAAGATGATTTAATAACTGTCCTTCTCAAACCCTTCAAAATAATTGAAAAGAGGGACTACTTCTATACTCAATTTATGAGGCCAATATTACCCTGATACCAAAATCAGGCAAGTATAGCATACACAAAAAATTACATGGCAAATTCTCTGATAAGATAGGTGTAAAAAATTTTAAAATATTAATAGCAAATTGAATGCAAAAATACATTAAGAGGATTATATCCATGATCAAGTGATACTCATTTAAGGGATGCAAAACTGTTCAACATCAGCAAGTCAATTAATAAGATACACCATGTTAGGAAAATGAAGTAGAAAAAATCATGTGACCATTTCAATAGATGTAGAAAAGCATATAAAAAGGTACAACATCAATTTAAAATTAAAAAGCTCTAAAAAGTAGGTATAAAAGGAAAGTATTTCAACATAATTAGGACCATATATGACAAAGCCACAGCTAACATCATACACAATGGTGAACAACTGAAAGCTCCTTTCCTAAGATTAGGATAAGGAACAAAGATGCCCCTTTCTCTACTGTTGTTAAAAATAATACTAGAAGCATTAACCAGAAAAAGTAGGCAAAAAAAAAAAAAGAATTAAAAAGCATTTAAATTGGAAAGGAAGAAATAAAGCTGTAACTATTTTTGTATAATAATTTTATATATAGAAAACTCTAAAGAATCCACTAAAATACTATTAGGAACAATAAAAAAATACATTAAAGTTGTAGAATACAAGTTCAATATGTAAAACTCTGTTGTGTGTCTATGTACAATGAACTACCAGAGAGAATAAAATAAACAATTCTACTTTCAGTTGCAATAAAAAGATTGACATACCTAGGAATAAACTTACCAAAGGAAGTGAAAGGCCTGTACACTAAAAACTACAAGACATTATTGGAAGAAATTGAAGAAGACATAAAGAAATGAAAGATAGTCAAGATATTCCATGTTTATAGATTGGAAAAATTAACACTGTTAAAATGGACATATTACCTAAAGCAATTTACAGATTTATTTTTTAAGCATTTTTTAATTTAATTATTGTTCAAGCACAGTTTTTTGTCTTTTACTCCCATCCCAGCCCACCCCCTTGTGTTCCCCACCTCCCTCCCATTTCCATCCCCCTTAGTTTTTGTCCATGTGTCCTTTATACTGGTTCCTGTGAATCCTTCCCCTTTTCTACTGAAATTATCTCCCCTCTCCCCTCTGATCCCTGTCAGCTACAGATTCATTTTAATCCCTATAAAATATTAATTTTTTTGTTCACAGAAATTAAACAAAAAGTGCTAAAATTTATGTAGAACCACAAAATATCTCTAATAGCAAAGCAATTCTCAGAAAAAAAAAGGCAGGAAACTGAAGGTATTACACTTCCCTTTTAAAAATATACTCAAAACTTTTGTAATCAAAACAGTATAATATTGGCAAGAAAAAAAGACACACAGACCATTGGAACAGAATTTAGGTCTCGCAAATAAACCACGCATACATGGATGACTATTTTAAGAGAAAGGAGCTAAGAATCTACACTGGAGAAAGGAAAGTCTCTTAAATAAATGATGTTGGGAAAACTAGACAGCCATATGCAAAAGAATAAAGTTAAACCCCTAATGGACATTGTACACAAATATTAACTCCAAATGGAGTAAATATTTGAATGTAAGACCTGAAATAATAACATATTCATAGAAGAAACATAGGCACTAAGCTTCTAGAAAAAAAGTTTCACTAAGTCTTTCAGTGAATTTGACCACAAAAGCAAGAAAAAAAAAAAGAAAAAACATGAAACTGAAAAACTGCACAGCAAAGGAAACTACCAACAAAACCAAAAGGCAACTAACTGAATCAGAGCAGATATTTGCAAATGATATTTCAGATAAGGGCTTAATATCCAAAATATATAAAGAATGCACACAACTCATAAACAAAAAAAAAAGTAAGTCTGATTTTAAAATGGGCAGAGGGATCATTAGAGCTGTTGCTCAAACTCAGCTTGTATTAAATGCTGGTTCACATGAGATAGAACACCAACATTACATTAATGTCCTATGCTCTATAATGTCACACACGGTTAATATGCAATGATCAATGGGGATTAATGACCCTGAATTTCAGAGTCTCAGTCCCAGGTCTGTAAGACACTGCAGCAGGTGGTGCGCTGAAAAAAATGAATGAATGAATAAATGAATAAATAAAATAAAATGGGCAGAGGCTCTGAATAGACATTTTATCCAGAGAAGGCAGGCAGATGACTAATGGACATATGAAAGATGTTGTACTTCACTATTATAAAAATGCAAATCAAAATCACAAACCACACACTTGCTAGAATGGCTGATACCAAAGTGACAAAAATGACAAGTGCTAGAGAGGATATGGAGGAAAGAGAACCCTAGTACAACCTTAGTGCAACCATTATGAAAACCAGTATGGAGATTTCTCCAAAAATTAAGAACTAAGCTGCCATATGAATTACCAATTCATATTCTAGGTATTACCTAAACAATATGAAAGCACTAATTCAAGAAGATATATGTCCCCCCCTGCTCTTTGCAACATTATTTACAATAGACAAAATATGAAAAAAGTAAATGTTTAAGGACAGATGAGTGGATAAAGGTGTGTATGTACATATATATATATACACAGTTTGTACATATTTATAAATATATGCATATTTATGCACATATTAAATAAGTGCATATATGTGCATATTTACATACTGGCATATGCACACATGGCACACATAAAATATGTGTGGTTATATATGCACACATATAAGCATATGTACACAAATATATGTACACATATAAATATATACATGTGCATGTATTTCTATATGTGCATATAAATACATATACATATGTGCATATATGTATACATAATAGGTGTGTTTATGTGTATAAATCTGTGTAAATATGTACATGTATATGTACATGTACATATTATACTTCACTATTATAAAAATGCAAATATACACACAAATATATACATATATACACACACTAATACATACACGATGGAATAATACAGATTAAATTTTGTCATTTGAAGCAGCATGTATGGGTTTTGAGGCTATTATGCCAAGTGAAATGAGTCAGATGGAAAAAATAAAATCTTCATGGTTTCATTCATATGTGAAAGATAAAACAAAAAGTAATGAATGTCATAATAACACAAAAACAAAGTCGTGGTACAAACAATAGTAATTACCAGAGGTAAGGGGTAGGGCAGGGCAAAATGGTAAAGGGGGACAAAAATAAGGTAACAGATGGAAACTAGAGTTTTGGTGTATCTTTTTATATCTGTGTAATAGAATACACAAATACAAAATTATAATGTTGTACATCTGAAATTTATATAATGTTAGTAATCAATGTTATCTAGAAAAGCCAAACCCATCTATTACAAGGGATTAGCTGAGAAGAAATCCAAATATTTTTTTACACATCAATTAATTTATTGTATTTTCCATTACCATTCATTCCCCTCATCCCCTCCTCCTCTCAAGAATCACCACCCTGTTGTTCATGTCCACAGATCTTTTTCTTTTCTGCTTAATCCCTTCACCTCCTGGCCTGCCCCCATAACTCACATCTTATTCTCAGTGAGTGTGTCTTTATTTTGCTTGTTAGTTCAGTAGATTCTGAACCAACTGAATCTAATGAACAAACTGAATCTATTGATTCAATAGATTCAGTTTGTTCATTAGATTCTACATATGAATGAAATCATATGATATTTGTCTTTCTCTGACTGGCTTATTTGACTTAGCATAATGTTCTCTGGGTCCATCCATGCTCTCTCAAGGGGTAAAGTTTTCTTTTTTTTTACAGCTGAGTAGTAATCTTGGCAATGGTAAATAATGCTGCAATGAACATAGAGGTGTTTACGTTCTTTCAAATGAGTGATTGTGTTCTTTCAAATGAGTGTTTTGGGTTTCTTTGGATATATTCCCAGAAGTGTGTATGCTGGGTCAAGAGGCAGATCCATAATTTTTTGAGGTATCTCCATACTGCTTTTCACAGTGGCTGCACCAATCTACATTCCCACCAGCAATGAAAAAGGGTTTGCACAGTTGTTTGTTGAGCAGGGGAGGAGCTGCCAAGGACAAAGGGTGAATAAAATGTTGTGGAAGAAAAATATTAAGTTATTAACTATCGCCTGTTGTGCAGATCTAGGAGCTGGGACTGTAAAGGCTATGGAAAAATATTGTTATACATAGAGTTTTCTCATATGGACAAATGTAAGAATGACTGCTGAGGGTAGTCCATTCTCATCCTTTTTCATCCTGCTGTTTGCTCCAGGGTCTCTGGCTAATGCTGTTTATAACACCCAGGGGGTTTACGAGCTTGGTTTAATGAGATTCAACCATAGGAGAGGCCTATTGACAATCACAGCAGAAGGAAAGAAATCAGGAACTATCTTTCCTACTCTGCTGGTTAGGCCTGACTTCCCTAGTGGTAACTGTGTCCCTCTATGATCCTCTGTTTGTGATGTGATTTTTTTCCTGAGATTTAATTATAATATTATTTCTCCTTGTCCTTTCTACACTGTGATTGATAGAGAGTTTCACCTGGACACCTATCACCTCTTGTTTATTCCTTTGGCCATGCCAACATTTTTGGGAGTAGTCACAGGCTAATGTCTTTATAGTTGAGTTATCTTGAGTAAATACCTATTTACTCCATAATTAACAGGCAGACCTTCTTAATTTCTCTTAACATATCATTTCATCCAGTCCCATAGTAGACTACTTATGTGAATATCCAATTCAATTTTATGAATATCCAATATTATATTTCTAGACTAGAGTGCTTTTCTAAATTCTACACATGATCTGGGGGAACTTCTCATTGGCATTTCAAACTTAGTGCATAGCAAAAGAAGCTTTTTTTATTCTTTCTGTGACAGACTTAATTTGTTGGCAAAAATAGGAGGTACAAGGCCAAATCAAGTGTGATTTTTTAACTGAATTCAAAAGGAGAGGAATATGAACAACAGCCATTGAGGGGCAGCAAAAAATAATTTTGTGCCATGATGGCCAGTCTCAGAGTTCAAAGGATGCCTAAGTGTATATGAAAGGCTTAGCCTAAGGGGATGCCAGATAACCTCTCGCGGGATCTCAGCCATTTGTTACATTCTATTCACAGAGAACAGACCTACCTGAAAGCAAATATAAATAGCTTTCCAAGATACAGTAAAATTATAAAAGTAGATTTATAGTTGTGAGTACATGAAATAGAGTTTATTTTTGTATTATTATTTAAGATTTTATTTAGTTATTTATTTTTTAGAGAGGGGGTAAGGGAGGGAGGAAGAAAGGGAAAAAAACATCAGTGTGTGAGAGAAACATTGATCAGTTGCCTCTCACATGCCACCAGTTGGGAATCTGGTTCACAACCTAGGCATGTACCCTGACCAGACATCCAACTCACTGAGTCCCACCAGTCAGGGCTGTTTTTGTATTATCGTTTATTAATTATTATATCATTTTCCATACAAACAACTGTAAACCTATGTTTTCCAGCTCTGTGTATCAAACATGGAAAGTAAAACATTAAGCACATATGTCATTGAGATGAGATGGAATTGCTGGGTCAAAAGGCAGGTCGATTTTTATTTTTCTGAGAAAATTCCATACTCTTTTCCATAATGGTTGTACCAATCTGCAATCCCACCAACAGTGAACTAAGGACCCCTTTTCCCCACAACCTCTCCAACATTTGTTTGTTGCTTTGTTTATGATAGCCATCCTGACCAGTGTAAAGTGGTATCTCATTGTGGTTTTAATTTGCATCTCTTTGTAGCTAACCATATTGAGCATCTCTTCATGTATCTCTGGATGTTCTATATGTCCTCCTTGAAGAATTGTCTGTTCAAGTCCTTTTCCCATTTTTTAATTGGGTTGGTTGTCTTCCTAGAGTGGAGTCATGTAAGTTCTTTGTATATTTTAGAGATTAAACCTTTGTCTGAGGTATCATTGGCAAATATGTTTTCCCATACAGTTGGTTGTCTTTTTAATTTAATACTGTTTTCTTTAGCCATGCAGAAGCTTTTTATTTTGATGAGATCCCATTTGTTTATTCTTTCCTTTATATTCCTTGCTTTAGGGGACATATCAGTAAAAATGTTGCTGCGTGAAATATCTGAGATTTTCTTGCCGATGTTCTCCTCTAGGACTTTAATGATATCATGGCTTATATTTAAGTCTTTTATCCACCTTGAATTTATTTTGTTATATGGTGTAAGTTGGTGCTCAAGTTTCATTTTTTTGCATGTAGCTGTCCAGTTCTCCCAACACCATTTGTTGAAGAGGCTATTTTTACTCCATTTTATGTTACTGTCCTCTTTGTCGAATATTAATTGACTGTAGAGAGTTGGGTTTATTTCTGGGCTCTCCGTTCTGATCCATTGGTCTATGTGCCTGTTTTTATGCCAGTACCAGGCTGTTTTGATTACAGTGGCCTTGTAATACAGTTTGATATCAGGTATTGTGATCCCTCCTACTTTGTTCTTTCTCAAAATAGCAGCCACTGCTAGGATTATATCCTAAAAATTCTAAAACATCAATTTCAAAGAATCTATGCACCACAATGTTCATAGCAGCACAATTTATAATAACCAAGAGTTGGAAGCAACCTAGGTGCCCGTCAGTAAACAAATGGATCAAAAAATTGTGGTACATATACACAATGGAATTCTATGCAGCAGAGAGAAAGAAGGAGTCCCTGCCCTTTGCAACAGCATGGATGGAACTGGAAAGCATTATGCTGAATGAAATAGGCCAGGTGTTGAAAGACAAATAACATATGATCTCACCTTTAACAGGAAGCTAAACAACAAAACAAACAAGCAAGCAGAAAGAAACCAAAGACACTGAAATAGAGAACAAAGGGACAGTGACCAGAGGGGAGAGGGAAGGAAATTTAAGGGGAAAAAAGGGGAGGGATTTGGAGGAACAAATAGGAAGGACACAGGGACGAGAACTAAGGGGGATGGAAATGGGAGGGAGGTGGGGAGCAAAGGGCGGGGGAGGCTGGGATGGGAGAAATAGACAAAAAAATTGTACTTGAAAAATCACTAAATAAAATTAAAAAAAGATTATGAGTTGGTAAACTTACTGCAATGTTTTATATATTTTTTAAAGTAATGGGTAGCTGATTAAAATATGAATATTAACCTTACATTAGAGTAATGCATTGACAAATACTTAATATAACAGGTCTTCTAATATCTGATACTCTTAAATAGCAATTAATTAATCAACTTATATTTATAGACTTTAGAGATTGAAAAAATTGTAATGATTTTACAATCAGAGAATATGGCTTTTTCTGTAGGAAATCATTTCTTTGATTATATAGAGTTATTACTTAAATTATGAATACTAGTAATTTTTAATTATTGTGAATTGACATTTAACTTTAAGATTATCAATTTTACTGGTCTTTAAAAATCTTATTAAAATTAGTCAAACAATTTTTTTATAATTTTAATTTATTTCTCCTAAATAACATACTTACTTTTAAAACAGTACCAACATCTTCACTTGCTGAAAAAGTAATCATTTTGTTAATTATCTTTATTATCTAAGAAAATGCTCAGAATTGCTCCTTGTATATAAAAGGCACACAAAAAGTAATTGTGCCTTAAAGGTGAAAACAAGCATAATGGTTTGATAGAGTTTGTTATGGGCTGAATTGTGTACCTGTCGCAAATTTATATTTTGAAGCTTTAACCCCTAATGTGACTATGTTTGGAGAATAGGCCTTTAACAATATATTTAAGAATGAATTATGTCATGAGAGCGGACTCTAATCCCAAGAGACTTCTGTTGTTCATTGTCAGAAGGGGAAGAAACATAAGGCATCTTTGTCTTACCATGGGTATAGAGAGAAAAGGCTGTGAAAGGATGAAGGGTGAAGATGGCTTTCCGCCAGTTGGGAAGGGAAGCCATACCAACCCTACTGATATCTTGATCTTGCACTTGTAGCCTCCTGAATTATGAAAAAATAAATTTTTCTGTTGCTTATGCCACTGACTTTTCAGGATCTTGTTATGGTGCCCGAGCAGACTAATGCTGAGGTTTATGGAAATGTTTTGAACATTCCAAAGCAGAATGTCCCATTTTTATTATTTTCAGTTTTGATGTAATCCTAATAACATTGGGCAAGTGGAGAGGCTTATTTCTATTTTAAAAAGAAATCACTAAAACACCAATCCAAAAGAACCTATGCACCCCAGTGTTCATAGCAGCACAGTTTACAATAGTCAAGAGCTGAAAGCAACCTAGGTGCCCGTCAGTAAATGAATGGATCAAAAAATTGTGGTACATATACACAGTGGAATTCTATGTTGCAGAGAGAAAGATGGAGTCCCTGCCCTTTGCAACAGCATGGATGGAACTGGAAAGCATTATGCTGAGTGAAATAGGCCAGGTGTTAAAAGACAAATACCATATGATCTCACCTTTAACAGGAAGCTAAACAACAAAGCAAACAAGCAAGCAGAATAAAAACAAAGACACCGAAATAGAGAACAGAGGGACAGAGACCAGAGGGGAGAGGGGAGGGAATTTCATGGGGAAAAGGGGAAGGATTTACAGGAACTAGTATAAAGGACACATGGACAACAACTAAGGGGGGTAGAAATGGGAGGGAGGTGGGGAGCACCGGGGTAGGCTGGGATGGGAGTAAAAGACAGAAAACTGTACTTGAACAATAATTAAATTTTAAAAAGAAAAATAATAAATATATCATAAAAAAGGAAATCATAGTTTCATAGAAAACTAATTTTTGAGGCTACTGCTCTGATTCTATAGTCTGTTGCAACTCGTGAACTGCATTATTATTCTAAGGTCTTTATATCCATGATATTCAGCTCATATTTTGTTCTTTCCAGCATCACTATATCACTTAAGGTTATAAAATTAAAATAGTGATATCATGAATGGGACTGTGGGATTTATTAATGTCCCTGTGTCAGAAAGCAGGCAGACAGAAGGAGGCTAACAATAAACTGGGCCTGGAAGAAGGAGGAACGGGACACCCTCACCAGTTAATGCTCTTGTGGAATTCTAAGCTTTTATTTTTTCAGCTAAAAAAGGGGAATGGGAAATTTGAAAACAGGAAGGGGGTACAGGGATAAACAGGGGTTTTCACTCAGATCTTTGTCAAGTTGGAAAGATCTATTCCCTTTTCTTCTTTTCTGTTTTACCAAATATTTGACAAAAAAATAAACAACATTTGATTATCAAGAATATAGCAGATACTGCACAGGCCAGCAGGAACCCGATCACGTCCACAGAGTGGTACTGGAACCAGGTGAGATCATGGGAGGCTGGGCGCAGGTGTTTGGCTCCTTTGTGACGCATGACAAACTCAATCCAGAAGACAGCTCGATCCAGAGGCTTTACAGGTTGATCATGGTGAATCTTTGATAACTTCATCACATTCTCTTTATAACTAGAATGAAAATAAGAAAGCAAAAAGAGGAAGACATTAATGAAATTTTGTTTCTATTAGTTACATGATACATGTTATAAAAATTTATATAAGGGCCGCAGAATTGTTGTTACATAAACTCTGTTCTTAGCATAGAATTTAAACATGTATAGTGTGGATATTGTAAAAGAAATATATCTTTAACAGAATGTGGTTAAATGCAGACAGAAAAAATTGGAATAAAACTATACTTTCCAGGAGATTTCCAAGACCCAGATAATGAATGGCCCAAGATTATGGAAAAAGATCTATTAAAAGGTCAGTGAGCATGATCCTTGTGTGGTGCATAATGGAATCAGTGGTATTGCTTTCAAAAACAGTAGTACTTACGAAGGATCATTAATGACTGTTCTTAAGGCATTGAGCAAATCTGCACTTGTCATTGTGTTTATGTTCAATTCCACAGCCACTCCTTTGGCCTTCATGTGAACAATGTTATCATACTGATCAGCAAACATGGGAATTCCCACCATGGGAACCCCATGATAAATGGCTTCATAGATCCCATTTATTCCACCATGAGTGATAAAAGCTTTGGTTTTGGGATGACCTGGTTTGGGGGAAGAATGAGAAGTGGGTGAAAATGTCATTATGCCATATAAATAAAAATTCAGATACAAAAAAGCAAGATCTATGCCATATAAATAAAAATTTAGATACAAAAGAAGAAGGGATAAATTACTGAAGAAGGCAATATTTTTCAGTATTTTCTGTAGGGCACTGCTACCATAGAAAATTGCTGTTCTAGGAAAGGAGGCATTAGTTCTCTCTGTGTCACCTGAAATTCTTATTTGAATTATAGCAAGTATGAATTTATAAAATTAATGATCAATTTTTATAAATTCATACTTGCTATAATGATCAAATCATCAATTATATCTTTTAAAATTAGAGGTAACATGAGAAACATTTACAATTGCTAACTATTTGTTGATATTAGTTTTTACATTAGTGTTAGCTATTAAAGAATTAACAACAGGTCCATCAACCAATATACAGTTTTCTTCCCCATAGTCTTACCAAGAAGATCATTCTGGGGTATCCAGTCATAGAGCTGAGTATTCGCTCCTAATGTAGCTGGTTTCTTTCCACTGTATCTCCATAAAACCTGTGGGAAACAGTGCATATATTTCACTAGATGATGACATTTTGAAGTTGTAGAGTTATGTATAAGTCATGCATTTACTTTAAGGTTGCAGTTGAGAAGGGAGTATGGAGGTGTACTTTGTAAACAATGAAAGAAATAGTGGGATTGTTTACAACCACCTTCTTAAAACCATTTGTGGTAGTTGTATATTAAGTATACTATTATCATTTTGTCTGTTATCATTTAAAAACCTTTGGGAGTGAGAAAGTAAGCAAAGAATTAGAAAACTATTTGTATTAGCCTAATGAATCAGAAATTAGAAGTTGAAATTTTTATGGCCACCTGACCTCTGTATAAAATTATGTCACTGGCATTCCTAATTCTGTTTTCAAATTAGTGTTTCTTACAAATATTATCACTTTTGATTTTCTCTGCTTATTTTTGAGGTAACTGATTATCTTTTCATCCTGCACTTCTTTCTAGCTTCTTTTTCTCCCATAACTTCTTTTTGTTTAAGTAAGAATAAAATCATGTTTTTGCTTATATTCCAAAGTTCAACGAAGCATCCTGTGTGGTTTTGCAATGATCATGTTCACCTTTATAATTTTTAAATATAATTTTATAGAATTTAATGAAATATAGAATAAAAGAGCTCTTAGATCTTTTATAAATAGCATTATATAAATAAAGGAATCTAGAATGATGGTGATAACATTAAAATTAATTAATATACCATAAATTAGGACATGCAAATTGCTAGACTATAATATTAAAATTTTCATGGCTAAAATTTCAATTGTAGGAAACTCTCATTAAAACAACTAAATGAATCTAACTTCTACTTCTATGCTCAGCTATGATGAATCAAGTCCTAAAAAAAAGAAAGATATGAAGTATATTCCTGTGCATGATTTATCTTTATTTTTGTCATTTCATTATCCTTTTCATGGTCTGGGAGTGAGTGTGCTTCAGAACTATTTTAGGAGTAGTCAGAATAGGCCTTAAAATTTCATGAAAATGCACTTAATGTTTTCATCTCTATTTCACTAAAACAAATGATTTTAAAAAGAGGTGTTCCATAGTAACAGCAAGGTCAGCAGGCAAGGCTCAAATATATTTATACTCAGTATTTAATGATCTATACATTTTTATTTAGTATGGCACCTGATATGTTAACTATAAAAGAAAGTTCAACTTTTCTTTTGAAAGACACCTAGTCACACTCTCCAACTGGTAAATAGCTTACCAGCAAGGTTAAAAGTACACTAACCTTCTGTGGAATCTGGGCAAGGGCTGAGGCAATAAGATTGGCCTTTTCTTCTGTCATATAGTGGATGACTGAACCCAAAGAAAACACCACAATACCATCTTCACCTGAGTTCTGAACAAATTTTTCTATTTCCTGTAGAGAAAATATATATTTTTTGTATTAGAGGTACAGCATCACAGGGAATAAAATAAAGTTTAGTTATAATTTTAAGAAAAACATTTAAGAGAATTATCAGAGGCATAGTTAGATTTCTTTTGACACCTAGAACCACCTAGTCCCTTTTAGAGAAGGTATATTATGCAATATAAAGATGAAGTATCATAGAATTGTACACTTGAAATCTATATAATCTTATTAACGTCACTGCAATAAATTTAGTTTAAATAAATAAATAGATAGATAGATAGGTAGGTAGATAGATAGATAGATAGATAGATAGATAAAATCCTGATTTAAATGCATAATCAGGGTGGAAGGAACATGGCGATGCAGTAGGATGGAGCAGTTCCAGTTCCTGTACCCTTGGGAGAAAATCCTGGCTGATCTACTGAGGAACAGCACAATCTACCAACAGTTCCCCAGCATTTATGAAAATAAGAAACCAGAGATTGTAACGGACGGACAAGACAGCTACAGCTGATCACACACACACACACACACACACACACACAAAATAGTAGGTGGAAGTGGAGAACATCAAGATACCTGAAGGAGACCACACCAGTAAATCTCACAGGTATCCTACCACAGAAGTTCACACCATAAACCCAGGGAGTCAGAACAGATCAATTTAAGAAGATGTGGCAAACAAGAGGAGTCTCACAAACAATGGGAAGACAAAGAAACAATCCCCAAATGACAGAAAAGGAGGAAGCCTCAGAAAGAATGTTACATGAAATAGAGGCAAGTCAACTATCAACTATTAAATTCAAAGCACTGGTTATCAGGAAGTTCAAAGAGCTCACAATGAGCTACCAGAAATTACAGGGGAGCTACAATGGTCTCACCACAAACTATATCAACATGAAAAAGGAAATACAAACTATCAGCAAAGGCCAAGAGGAAATGAAGAATACATTCTCTGAACTGAAGAACACAGTAGAAGGAGTCAAAAGCAGGATCAATGAAGCAGAAGACTGGATCAGCAAGTTAGATGATAAGGTAGAAAAAATTCACAGAAAGAGCAAGAAAAGGAAAAGAGGCTCAAAAAGAATAAAGAAGTATTAAGAGAAATGCAAGACAATATGAAACATAATAATATCCGAATAATAGAGATACCAGAAGGAGAAGAAGAACAAGAGTTAGAAAACATAATTTAAAAAGTAATGATGGAAAACTTCCTTGATTTGATGAGAGAAAAAAATCACACAAGTCCAGGAAACACAGAGTCCCAATCAATAGGAACCCAAAGAGGCCCACTTCAAGACACATCATCATTAAACTGGCAAAATTCCAAGACAAAGAGAGAATCTTAAAGGCAGCAAGGGAGGAAAAAGAAATAACATACAAGGGAGCCCCAATAAGGTTAGCCACTGATTTCTCAATGGAAACACTCTAAGCAAGAAGAGGATGGCAGGAAATATTCCAAGTAATGAGAACCAGAGGCCTACAACCAAGGCTGCTTTACCCAGCAAGGCTCTCAATCAAGATAGAAGGCCAAATAAAGAGCTTCCAAGACAAAAGAAGTCTAAAAGAATATGCCGCCACCAAGCCAGCTCTACAAGAAATACTAAAAGGTCTGCTTTAAGGAAAGAAAGGAAAAGAGAGAGACAGAGAGGAACACAGGTACAAAAATAGCAATGAATGAGTACCTATCAATAATAACATTAAACATAAATGGATTAAACGCTCCAATCAAAAGACATAGAATAGCTGAATGGATAAGAAATTGTGACCCACACATATGCTGCCTACAAGAGACCCACCTCAGGACAGAAGACCATCACAGACTAAAAGTGAAAGGCTGGAAACAAATTTTTCAAGCAAATGGACAAGAAAAAAAAAGCTGGGGTAGCAATTCTCATATCAGACAAAATAGACTTCAAAAAAAGGGTCATAAAGAGAGACCCCGAGGGTCACTTCATAATACTCAAGGGAATAATCCACTAAGAAGACATTAACATCATAAATATATATGCACCCAACATAGGAGCACCCAAATATATAAAGAAAATCTTAGAGGACTTCAAGAAAGATATTGACGCAACACAATTATAGTAGGGGATTTTAACACCCCACTATCAAAATTGGACAGATCCTTCAAACAAAATATCAACAAAGGTATTGCAGCATTAAACAACACCCTAGAGGAAATGGACTTAACTGATAGATATAGAGCCCTTCATCCCAAAGAAGCTAAATACACATTCTTTTCAAATGCAGTGGAACATTTTCCAAGATATACCACATGATAGGACATAAAACAAACCTCAAAAAACTCAAGAAAATTGAAATCATACCAAGTATTTTCTCTGACCACAAGGGACTGAAACTGGAAATCAACCCCAAAGGAAAAACTCAAAACACCCAAAATCATGGAGACTGAATGGCATGCTATTAAACAATGAATGGGTCAAGAATGAAATTAGGGAAGAAATCAAAAAGTTTCTGGAAACAAATGATAATGAACTTATGGGACACAGCAAAGGCAGTCCTGAGAGGGAAGTTCATAGCAATACAGGCCTATCTCAAAAAGATAGAAACACTTCAAACAAACAACCTAACCCAACGCCTTCAAGAACTTGAGGAACAACAACAAAGACAGCCGAGAGCAAGTAGAAGGAAGGAAATAACCAAGATCAGAGAAGAATTAAATGACATAGAGACTAAAAGAACAATTGCAAAGATCAATGAATCCAGGAGCTGGTTCTTTGAAGAGATAAACAAAATTGACAAGCCATTAAGTAGGCTCATCAAGAAAAGAAGAGAGAGGACACAAATAAACACAATCAGAAATGAACGAGGAGAAATTAAAACTGACACCACAGAAACAGAAGGAATTGTAAGAAATTATTATGAAGAATTGTATGCCAAGAAATTTTAAAACCTAGGTGAAATGGACAAATTTCTAGAAAAATACAATCTTCCAAAACTCAATGAAGAAGAAACAGAAATCCTGAACAGACCAATAACAGCAGATGAAATTGAAGCAGTAATAAAAAACTCCCATCACACAAAAGCCCTGGACCAGACAGTTTCACAGGAGAATTCTACAAAGCATTTAAGGAATAGCTAACTCCTGTCCTTCACAGACTATTCCAAAAAATCCAAAATGATGGAAGACTCCCAAACTCTTTTTATGAAGCCAGCATCATCCTAATTCCAAAACCCGATAAAGATACAACAAAGAAAGAAAACTTCAAGCCAATATCACTGATGAACATAGAGACTAAAATCCTCAATAAGATATTGGCAAATCACATACAACAATACATTAAAAAGATCATATACCATGACCAAACGGGATTCATCTCAGGGATGCAGGGATGATTCAATATTCACAAATCAGTAAATGTAATACATCACATAAACAAAAGCAAAGACAAAAATCACATGATCATATTAATAGATTTGGGAAAAGCTTTTGGTAAGGTATAGCACCCATTCATGATAAAAACACTCAGCAAAGTGGAAATAGAGGGAACATTCCTCAATATAATAAAGACCATATATGAGAGACCTGAAGCCAGCATTATACTCAATGGGCAAAAACTAAAAGCTTTCCCACTAAGATCAGACACAAGACAAAGATATCTTGTGATGACTTCTATTTAACATTGTATTGGAAGTCCTAGCCACAGTGATCAGACATGACAGAGAGATAAAAGGGATCCAAATTGGAAAGCAGAAAGTAAAACTGTCACTGCTTGCAGATGATATGATAGTGTTGCATAGAAAACTCCATACCCTCCACCACAAAACTACTCAACCTAAGAAGCAAATTTGGCAAAACAGCAGGGCTCCAAGTCGATATTCAGAAATCAAAGGCAATTTTATACATCAACAATGAAAGATCAAAATCAGAAATCAGAAAAAAACACCCATTTCCTATAGCAACGAGAAAAATAAAATATCTAGGAATAACCTGACCAAGGCGGTAAAGGATGTATACTCAGAAAACTACACAATGCTAAAGAAAGAAGTTAAGGAAGACAAAAATAAATGGCAACATATACCATGTTCATGGATTGGAAGAATTAACATCATCAATGTGCATACTACCTAAAGCAATTTATAGATTTAATGCAATCTCTATTAAAATACCAATGACGTATTTCACATATATAGAACAAATATTTCAAAAATTTATATGGCACCATAGATGACCATGAATAACCACAGCAATTTTGAGAAAGAAGAACAAAGTAGGCAGGATCACAATTCCTGATATCAAACTATATTACAAGTCCACAGTAATCAAAACAGTGTGGTACTGGCATAAGAAAAGACACATCGATCAATGGAATAGAGTCAAGAGCCCAGAAATATACTCAAGTCTCTATGATCAATTAATATCTGACAAAGGGGGCAGAATTATAAAATGAAGTAAAAATACTTTCTATTACAACTTGTGTTGGGAGATATAGAAAGCTACACGCAAAAAAAAAATTTAACTTGACCGCCAACTTACACCATACACAAAAATAAACTGAAGGTGGATAAAATAATTAAATATAAGTCACAACACCATAAAAGTCCTGGAGGAGAACACGGGCAGGAAAATCTCAGCTATTCCACACAGCAGTATTTTCACTGGTATGTCCCCTACAGCAAGGGACATAAGGGAAAGAATAAACAAATGCGATTTCATCAAAATAAAAAGCTTCTACGTGGCTAAAAAACACCAGCAAAATGAAAGGGGTGCCAATCTAATGGGAAAATATAGTTGCAAATGATACCTTTGGCAAGGCTTTGGTCTCTAAAATATATAAAGAACTCACACAACTTCATTCCAGGAAGACCAACAACACAATTAGAAAGTGGGCAAAGGACCTGAACAGACACTTCCCAAGGAGGACATACAGAGATCCCAGAGACATTTGAAAAGATGCTCAGCATCACTAACCATCAGAGAGATGCAAATTAAAGCCACAATGAGATACCACTTCACACTGGTCAGAATGATCATTATAACCAAATCCACAAGCCACAAGTACTGGTGAGGCTGTGGAGAAAAGGGAACCCTAGTATACAGTTGGTGAGAATGCAGACTGGTGCAGCCACTGTGGAACACAATATGGAATTTCCTCAGAAGACTAAAAATCGAACTGCCTTTTGACCCAGCAATTCCACTTTTGTGATAACACCCTAAGGATGCTGAAACACCAGTTCAAAAGACCCTATGAACCCCAATGTTCATAGCAGCACAATAACCAAGTGTTGGAAGCAGCCTAAGAGCCCATCAGTAAATGAGTGGGTCAAAAAAACTGTGGTATATTTACACACTGGAATACTATGCAACAGAAAGAAAGAAGGAGCTTCTACACTTTGTGACAGCTAGATGGTACTGGAGAGCATTATGCTAAGTTAAATAAGCCAGGAGGTAAAAGAAAGATACCATGTCATGTCACCTATAAGTGGAACATAATCAACAAAAGAAATAAACAAGCAAAATATAACCACAGACATTCAAATACAGAACAAACTGACAGTAAGCAGAGGGGAGGGAAGAGAAAGATAATGGGGTAAAGCGGGGGAAGGTTTGCCAAGGAACATGTATAAAGGACACATGGAAAAAGCCAAAGGGGGCAGGATCAAGGGTGGGAGGCAGGGGTGGATGGGGCTGAGGGGAGGAGTGGGAGCAAAATGGAGACAACTGTACTTGAGCAACGATTAATACAAAAAGCTTACAATGAAAATTCACACTGCAAATCCTTCATCTATTAACATTTTCAAGTGTAGAACTAACCAGAATTTTATCTTCTTATTCATGCTCAATCCTAAACTCTACCACTGAATTAAATTTAAGTAAAAAGATTTACACACACACACACATACACAAAGCTACCTCTTAATCATGTATATCTACGGTAGAAATTAATTTTTTCTTATCTTTCCCAATAAGTTAATTGCAATTTTCACATTGTGCCTTATTTTTTAAAGATATGATGCTAGAAATTCAATGGAATTTGGTGGTTTTTCCTTTGCTAGCACAGTAAATTCTTGTTACCATATAGGCACAACAGTCTGATCCAGGTAGGCTCAGCTGGCTAAGACTGGAGATCCACTTTCTGTTTTGATGAATTTTCTCTATTAGTATTCTCATTCCTACTATCCTCTCAGCATTATCTGTGAGATCGTACTCAGAGAGAGGATTTTCTGCAATCTGCATATGTCCCTCCAGCATCTGTTCTGGCTCCATGATGGACCCTGCAAGTCACAGTGTCTGGACAGTGGTCTGTGCCTGAGCCTTCCTTTCCTAAGAGACGTTTGCCACACCTCCAACACTCGAAACTAATGGCTTCCATCTTATCATTGTTTTTTAATCTATATATTCAGTGACTGGAATAAGTCTTCTATAACAACCATAAGCCTTGATTGGTATTCATACAGCACAAACTCCTTACCAATAAGTAAGTTGAATTTAGAAGGGGATAAACATCCTCCTTTCATTTTATCTGAGCTGATTTTGTGAAATCATGAAGCTTTGTGTGTGTGGCAATGAGTGTGTATATGTGTGTAAAAGTGGGAATGATAGGGTAAAAATGAGTTTGGCCTGGGAGATTATCTAGAGACCTATAGAAATTGCTACCTCTTTTTTTTTTGATTTCTCAAGTTAGATGTTGGTCCATTATACCAAATCTTAATAGAACTTGATTTGCAACTACATTCATAATTTTATTGGTAAGAAAAAGGATATTTATGATTCTGAAATGAAATCTCATTCATCAATATACACTTTGCCAAAAAATAAATCAAGAGTCCCCCTGGGAATACCATGTACCCTGCCAACTTCCTAAAAAGATTTTGTTAATATTCTCACAGTACAAGTAAATGAGGGTTTTCTTCCCCATTCCCTGTTAATAGTTCAACACAGTGCCTGTGTAATACTTATGTATTACCCATTTGTTTCTCAATGCTGTTTTGTTCCAACATCCCCAACACTCTACATTTTTCTTTGAAGGCTTAAGAAAGTGGTATACAATTATCTTTTTCATAAAAAAACCCTGTCATCAGGTTGTAAAGAATCAGGCCAAGATTGGGTCTCTCATTTTCATAAACTCTACGTTATGCTGATGACCTCCAATCTTTCCTTTACTGTATACTAAGATTAAGACCTCGTATTACCTGACTGACTTCTAACAAATTCTGCTCACTCCTTTAAGTGAGTAGTCACACTATAGACTCATTGTATTAGTCTCAAGTACATTTCACCTCATGTTTCTTATTTCAACAGAGCCCATCATTATCAAATAAACATGCAAAGTGGAAATCAAGGAGTCCTCTATGAATTGTCTCATGAAGGCATGTTTATCTCTCTACCACCATGAAAAATGCCTTAACTTCATTATGCTTTTGAGGAAGACTACAGCAGTATCTTCAGTGATTTTCATAGTTCCAACTTCCTGTCACTCCTATAAATTATATCTATATTATAAAAACAGTAATACTTTGAAATGTGCTTCAATCATGCCAATTTCAGCTTCATTTCCCAATATAATGCCTAAAGTACACATAAATATCACAAGAACCCTTCTGACATAGAAAATGAAAATGGAATTGACCATCCAAAGATGTTTAGTATCATGTCTTTGTTAAGAGATCTTAATAAGGTTATCTTATAAAAGATAATCTTAATCTTTATTAAGATTATAACCTTTAAATAGAAATCGGGTATTATATCCTAAGGAACATAAAATCCTTCAATGTTATAATCTTACCTCAGGTAAAGGTTTGGTAGGTTTGCAGTGCAACCCTCCAACAAATTCAAAATTAGGTAGGTGTGGACGAGGAAATTCGAAATCCCAATATGTTCGAATTAGCCAAATTTCAGCTTTTCCCAAAGTCTCACATAATGTAGTGGGTCTTCCTGGAAAAAAAAATTGTTTAAAGTTGGGTAGTAGGAATTAGCCTAAGTTAAATAGAAAAACTGCACCACCAATTTGATGACTAGTTATCAAGGGAAAAATAAGTTTAAGTCTTCTAGAATAATGCAGCTTCTAAATATGAACTGAAAAGGGGCATTAATACAACAACATGGAATAAAAAAACAAAACAAGAAACACAAAAGAAAGTAAAAAAAGAAAAAATGGGGTTATTAGTTTATTTTTAAGGTAAAATAAACCAAACATTTAACCGCAACTCCAAACTACTGTATAAATGAATATATTACTGATTTTCATCTCAAATGGCAGACAGTACAATATCTGCACTAAACCACTTCTCAATGGTTTCTAGCCTTCCACTCAGGAATATGTCCAATCTTCCTCCCTCCCCTACCCAAAATGTCTTAATCTCAGGATTGCTCATGTTATTGTAGGATCCCACCAATATCAATCCACCTTATGAGTTATCCTTCTGAGTTATATTTCATCACTTCAACGGATGGGCCACTATTTTTTTCAGCATCAGCAAATTTATTTATTAAGGGGTTTTGAGAAAAGCCATGCAAAGTACAAACGTGGACATTGTTTTCTCCGTTTCTTAACTTTCTGGCAAATAGACTGTTGACATCATTTCTGCCAGCCTGTAGCATGGAAGACGCATTCTTCATGGGAACTACGCAGAGCTGGATTTCGGCGCTGTGTTTCATGGTTCAGTCAGTGAAGGACTGCTTGCCAGATGGGAGCAGCTCTCACAGCATGGCCCCTTCTGAAAGAAGGGGATGGGAGGCAGTGGGCTTCATAAGCTCTCTTTGCCAAGTTCCAACAGAAAGCTTGAAAGTTTGGTCATATGCACCAAGAAAGATGAAACTTCCTGGACTAATTGCTTCCATTCAAGGGAAGATACCTGCAAGTAATCCCGGCAGTCCCAGTGTCTGCCAGACCCCATACAGAATAGAGAGGCTTAACATTCCCACTAACAGTGCTAGAACAAGCCTTTGCCAATATGATTCTTGTTTTTACCATATCCAGAGGTGTGGTGACTACAGTTTAGAATCCACCTGCAAAAGCTCCACAGACCGTTGACTGCCAAGAATCCATCACCTGATCCCACCTCCAGGACCAGAGGGATTTTAAGAACGGCTGTAAGGGAAACTGAACCAAAGAAAAAGGAATCTCTTTCAAAACTGTGCTGTGTAGCCTCAGTACAGTCATTGAATGTCTTCTTGATAAAAGATGTTAGATAAAATTTGAAATGTTCTAAAATAAACAGAAATCTGTGGCCTCTGCTTAACTACTTCCAAAGGAACTCAAATCAGGCATGCTACCACTTCTCCGGCAGAGGTAGCCAATGTGTGCTTTGCAGGCATCAGATATGAAGATGAACCAGCATGCAAAAACCATTTTACATATTCATAGGTGACAATAAAGGCAGCTGCATCTGAGAGGCCATGAACTCAGGTTGGTCCATAGCCCCCAAAACACCATCAGCACTAGAATTCAAGACCGAGCAGAGGCAGGCCACAGCCTCATGCACTGGGTGCCACCATCTTGGAGGCAGGGCCTTAATGGGCCACTATTTTATTAGTAAGAACTCCCTGATTAATTCATACTCAGGATGACCCTCTTTTGGGGATGTGTAGTACATAACTATATACCACGATTATCACTCACTACTATATTGTTGCATTACTAAAATGTGTTCAAGGAGACACATTGAAGGTATTAATTTTAGGTTTTTACAAAAGATACTTTTTTTGTAACAGAGAAAGGGGGAAACACAGGTGACAATCCTTTTCACTTTAGGATTCTAATCAAAGTTGGTGGTGACGTACACCCAGGGAGTTAAGCCTCACTTTAGAGTCATCACTTTTTAGTATTTGAAATATTATCTAATGTCATATAGTCCAATAGCTATAAGTTGATAATGAAGAAACTTGGCCCAAAGACACCGAGTTTGAAATTGCCAGAGATTATGTTAAAACTCCATTTCTTAGCTTCTGAATTAATGTGATTTTGCCATCTAGATGCCTAATTTTTTGTGACCCAAATCCTGCCTGATTACAGACTTCAGGGTGATATTTTAATAAGTCATTCTCTTATTTAACCTAATCATTTTTCTCCCTAGGTGATGTGGTTTATATAACCTTAGCTTCAACTTAGAAACATAGAACTTAAAGCACTTAAGACCATTCCATGTTTAAAGTAATGATTCAAAATAATGTGTATAGATGTGATAAAAAGAAAGATAATAAAAGTGAATTTAAATGTAAAATTAAATAATTTTATAAATTGTATTTGAAATGTTACATATGAGAAATTACAGACATAAAATAGTAAAATAAAATCAACAAATACCCCATTTAGTTATATAATTTGCATAAAATTGAGTTATACAATCAGAATGGATAATTCTAAATATATTGTATATGTGTACATAATGCACACACACACACATATATATATTTAATTAATAGATTAAAATTTTAAAAAATTTCATTTATTTGCTTTTAGAGAAATGAAAAAGAGTGGGAAAGAAACATATAGTTGCACTTCTGCGCCCCCTACCGACGACCTGGACTGCAGCCCAGGCATGTGTCAGACTGGTAATCAAACCAATGACCCTTTGGTTCACAGGCTGGCACTCAATCCACAGAGCCACACCAGCCAGGCCTAATGGGTTAAATTTTAGTTACCAAGTAGATATTATTATCATATGAACCTACAATGAGTCAAGTGAGATGGTTTTTAATTTTAAGGACTTCTTAGGGATTACCTAATTTCAATTTTTGCTTAATAGAAGATGCTCTTTTTCTCACTTCTCCTTAGATAATGCCTCTGTCCTCTTTTCCTAAAGTTGAGATTTTCCAAAGGTCTTTACTCATAATCCTATTATACCAAAATGTGACAGTTTACAGTTATCTCTGATAGACTTGAGCCAATATTCTTGTATTTTTTACTTAAATCTAAATACCATATGATCTTACCTTTAAGTGGGACCTAATCAATAAAACAAACAATCAAGCAAATAACCAGAGACATTAAAATTAAAAACAAACTGACAATAACCTGAGGGGAGGTGGGGGAGAGAGGAAGGGGTTTTAGGAACATGTATAAAGGACACATGGACAAAACCAAGGGGGGGTTGGGATCAGAGGTGGGAGGTGGGGAGGGCTGGAGTGGAGGGAAGTGGAGGAGAGAAAATGGAGACAACTGTACTTGACCAACAAAAAAATCTATAGAGCCTAGCATGTAGTGTGCTTCCAGGCTTTCATAATTAATTATAATTAACTATAATATAATTAATTAATTATAGCAAATCAATATATTTAAGTTTAAATCATGTCTGTATCAAGGATTTTGGAAGTGGGTTTCTTTGAACATTAGTTCTGTGAAGCAATTAGATATTCAATGAATAAAATTAGATAATATATTTAGTGCCAGATATGATTCTTTGTTTTTGTCTGTGCTTTTTAAAGATAGTCAAAGTAGAAGCCTGTCTGAGTTTCAGATCACAGCTGAGTGTATGAAATTGCAAATCAAAGCATCGTTTTAGCAGAAAAGGCAAAAAATTAAGAATAGGTTTAATAGGTGTATATGAGTGAAGTTAAAAAATCTATTCTCTTTAACTGCTCAATATACAAAGTCTTTTAGAGTTTTCTAATCACTATTTTAAGTTTTTGTGCAGCATTCTTGCAAGAAATATTTATAAAGCATCCTAGGAATCTTTTTCATGACTAGCCATGATGAACCTGTCCAAATAGGACTTTTGGAAGCTTCCTTTAAAGTTTATGAGAGGGATGAGAGAAATTGGGGAGTTGGGTGACACCTAAACGAGGGGGAAGAGTTGGGCCAAGATAGACCCTGACCTGGATGGTCTCTGGACTGGTCAGAGAGTTGGACTGTGTGAAAAGCAGGTGCTTGTTAAGAACATAGGGGACAAATAAGAGGAATTTACTGAAAAGAAAAAAAGCTATCAGCTGCTGTTTAAGGAACTCTCCCAGCGGTTGTGCCCAGGAAGAGAGAGGAGGGGGGTGTAATTTGCTCCAAATCAGAGCACCTCGTGAGCGGAACAAGGTGGTGTATTAAAGGCATTGGCCTGGTGCAGATGGACAGTGGGGACCTGGCAGCACTCTGATGGCCTGGGCTGGAGGCTGGGCACCATTAAATAATGCAACCCAGACCTAGACCCTATCCTTGCAAAACCGCAGGAAAGGAAAAAAGCAAAGCCCACCCCCATCTGCCTGCAGCACCCAGAAATACCAGCAGAACTCACTTAGCAGGTTTAAAGTCAGCAGGAAGCTTTTTTTTTTCTTTTCCCAAGTGTGAGACAGTAAGACCTTGGGCTGTGAAAAGACCAAAAACAGATCCAAAGAGGGATCAAAAAGCTAATGCTGCCAACTGAGAAATTGAGAAAAACTTCACTTTGTTATCCTATAGAACTTGCATTTTATTGTTTATTTTATTGTTATTTTTCAATATTTTTATTTATTTTATTTGATTATTTTTTATTTCTCTTCTTTCTGTTTAGTTTTCTTCATTTTATTTGTGTATTTAATCACATTGTTTGGCTGATTTTTCTTGTTCTCTCTTTCATATTGCATTTTAATTTTTCTTCTTTTACTTCACTTATATTCCAATAATACCTACTCTTGGTCTTTTACTTTCTATTCTTTTTATTCAGATCATATATTTCTTGTCATATTATTGTTGTTCCAGTATTACTGTAAATAAATGTTATTCCATACAATTGTAAATACTACACAGTACCTTTCCCTGGTCTTGGCCCATTTCATTATCTTCCTGAGCTCTGTTACTGTTGTTACTGAACTCCGTTCTCCCTCACACTATGCCTAGTTTCTATCCTTTACTCTGACTATATCTCACCATCTAAGCTTGCACAAGAGCACTGTTTTCTGGTTTCAGCTCACATTTCTCCCCTCCTCCAATAAGAATTTTATCTTTTTTTTATGTTTTATTAAAAGTG